GGAAGGCAGTTTTATTTAATGGATCACACATACTCAACCTCACTCATTTTGAAAATCTGACATAGTTCTAACCTACAGCTTTTTTTTTTAATTATAGGAAGTAACTTTGTTAGAACTTGAACACAATTATCTGAAATGCATTTGGAAGATATAGTAAGTGTGAATTATCACATTATAATTCACATTATAATTCACATAATATCACATTATAATTATCATATTATAAAATGCTGCCATGTAATTTTTCTGATCCTCTGAATAAAGTAACATAATTTACCTGAATGTGTTCTCATAATAATTTGCCAAAAAAACTGGATGAGCTTAAGAAAGAAAGGAACAGTCTGCAAGGAAAAGTCAAGAGAGTATACAATTCCTTACTGTTGTGGAAGGAAGTGAAGGAAGATGTCAAAACTTCAACATTTTCAGAGAAACCAAGAGAAAAGATAATAGTTTTTAAAGTTTAAAATGCAACCTCCATTCTCAATATAGTAAAATTGGTATTTAAAAGATCTTTTTGGGACGTCTGGGTGGCTCAGTGGTTGAGTGTCTGCCATTGGCTCAGGGCGTGATCCCAGAATCCCAAGATCGAGTCCCATATTGGGCTCCCTCCAAGGAGCCTGCTTCTTCCTCTGCCTGTGTCTTTGCCTCTTTCTCTCTGTGTCCCTCAATAAATGAATGAATGAATGAATGATTTTTTTTTTCAAATAAACAAGTTTCAAAATGAGAGAAGAGATGCTAAGCAATGGAAAGAAAATGTTCTTTCTTGAAAAAAAAAAAAAAAAAAAAAGAAAGAAAACCAGCACATTGCAATGAGGCCCTCTGCTGCCAGTTTTTTAATACTACACCAAAGATCAACTTCCAGCAGTTTCTGTCTTTGCAGGCAAATACTTCAACAAAGCTTTAAGGAAAAAAAAAAATTACTTTAAATCCTTCAACAAAGTATAGTCATTTACAAGACTTTTTAAAATCAAAGTGATTGATTCTGCTAATACTCTGAACACAGTTGAGCCACATAAACTTCAGTTAAATCTCTTAGTGACAGCATTATTCATTTAATAACAGATTTTCATTATTTTATGTTCTATATAAATATTTCCAAAAAGAGACTATATTCATACCAAATGGTTTCTACAATGACAATAGTTCATCCAATACTATGGAAAAAAATATTTTTAATTAGAAAGAAACTTGTGTCTCAAAGGCAATTCCTAATAAATATCTCCATTTCCTGGGGGAAAAAAATAACAAGCAGTCCAGAAAATTAACTCAAAAACTCATCTGAAGGACGCCTAAGTGGCTCAGTGGTTGAGCGTCTGCCTTTGGCTCCAGGTGTGTTCCAGGGGTCCTGGGATTGAGTCCCATATTGGGCTCTCTGCAGGGGGCCTGCTTCTCCCTCTGCCTGTGTCTCCTCCTCTCTCTCTGTGTCTCTCACGAATAAATAAAATCTTTAAAAAACAACTCATCTGAGACTAAAACCAATGCAATTTGACCATTTTTTAAAAAGATTTTATTTATTTATTCATGAGGGACACAGAGAGAGAAGCAGAGACACAGGCAGAGGGAGAAGCAGGCTCCATGCAGGGAGCTCCACGTGGGACTTGATCCTGGGACTCCAGAATCGGGCCCTGGGCTGAAGGCGGCGCCGCCGAGCTACCCAGGCTGCCCTTTGACCATCATTTTTAAATTGCCAGGACCAGGGGTAGATTTACTGTGAAGTGAATAAAACCTCACACGCATAGCCGGGAGCTGTGAAGTATTCCAGGTGAAAAGGAGAAGCCAAGTGTCAATAAGGAAGCTTTTCTAAGTGAGTGTTTCTGGTAAATTGCCTTAAGATAGCTTAGGGGAAAAAAAAGGATCTGAACCTCAGTTCAAGTAAATTGTCATGATTTCTTTTTGTATGTTAAATATGTCATTTAAAAAAATGTTTGTAGTTTTTTCTTCTTCTTTCTTAAAGAGGGCCAGAAAAAAAAATGTAAGCTTACAAGCCACAAAACTGGGGATGTGAATCTCCCTCTGGGTAGTATACTTTTACTCAAAACAGTCCGTACAGAAAATGTTATTTTACTTTTAATGGAAACATCTTACATTAATAGGGAAAAAATGGTTTTAATGCCAATTTTGAAAACAAGACAAAATACAAACTTAAAAAGGCATTGGTAAAAATACTTTATAGAGTTTTTAAGGGAAAGAAAGAAGATTAATATCCACCCAACAGTGAAGCTATCTAGCATTCAAGAATCTCTAGCTTTTGATATCTATGTAGCGGTTAAGATTACTGGCTCTGGAGTCAGACACCTTGATTTCAATCCTGAATTCATCACTTTATAGCTAAGTCACCTTTAGCAAGTTAATTGTGCATTATAGATGTAGACATTTGATAACTATTTGCTGAATAAATAGATGCATGCATCAACTCCACATGAAAACTTCAATTTAGCAAATATAGTAGTTCAATTTACCTCTACGTAAAAAAAAAATGTATTTGTTACACAGATCAGTTATGGGAAAGGTACTGGGCAAGGGGGGAAGAAAGAATATTAGAGTTTAAGCAAAGCATTTTTTTATGATTTCTATTTGTATTTGATAAGATGGGAAAAGGCTTTCTAGAGCACAAAGCATTTAAGGATGAAGCCTGAAAGACTGTTAGGATCAGACCTGGTTGACTGGGAAGGTGGAACAGGCTGGAAGTATTTTAGGCTGAGGGAACAATACACTAAGCCAAGACCCAGAGAAAAGAAAGTGGAGAGATCTAAGTATTCTGGGAAGTTAGCAGCCCTGTTAGTTTAGAGAATTCAGGGAGACTGGGTTGGAAACAAACAAGGGTCACATCACCACTTCAGTTAATAATGCTCCCTATTCTGAAGATGCTCATAAAATTCCTTATCAGTCAAAGTCCACACAACCACCATTATAAATTACATTTGGCTTTCTTTCATAGACAATGTCTTTAACTGATACAAAGAAATACGGGATTTAGGATTTTTATTAAACTATAATTATTTCAGTTGCAGATTTGAAAATGGATTTTATTTTTTAATTTATATTTTTGTTGAAAACTGGACCATTTGTAACTTTCAAATACCAAAATCTCTCACATAGAAATCATTTGAATTGCAAGATTTATGTTAAAGCCATTCCTTGGAAGATTGGGAGAAAAGGAAGGATAATGGACACTGGGTTAAGTACATAAATTTTCTAGTAGGTCATTAGGAGGAAAACTGTTCCCAAGGCAAATGTCATCAACAAAGTAAATGAATAAATGAAAGAAATGCCATTCTTGTTGGTATAATACATAAACTAATGACCTTGGGTCAAACTTGACTTTCAAACTGGCCTCAAACACAGTCAGTACTGTGATCTTGGGCAATTCATCTAACTTCTCTATGCCTTAGTTTCCACTTCCATAAAATAAGAAGGACAATCACAGTAATAAAATTTGATTGTGATATATTATGTTACTATCTGTCCATGGGAGGAGTATACATTTTCACACACACTGTCTTTGGACTTGAACATATGACATGTTTTGTCCAATATAATGTGATATTTGTCCCAACCTCTTGCTACTAAAATAACATGCCCATAAGGATGCTGCCCTTTCAGCCTGGATTTTAGAATGACGAGAACACAGAAATCAGAGATGTGCTGTTCTACATCCTCCATAAAATTTAATTGACAAACTTTATTGTTGTAAGCTACTGAAATTTAGGAGTTGTTACTGTTTCAAAGCCAACTGCACTACCCACTTCACACATTTTTTATAAAAATTGAATAAACCAATATAACTTAAAACACTGTATAACCTTCTATGCCTACCCATACCTTACACTAGCTCCTTCTCTTGCCTAGGTTGATGAGATTAGAAAATTTAGGAACATTAACTTGTGATGTGCTCAGCTCCTAACCCCCATCTCTTTATTATACCTCATAAAATGAAATAACCTTGGGTTTTTTGTTATTTGCAATGTGAATTTCCATGAGAATATTGAAGGGAGGATATATCCTTAAAATGATACAGCTTTTTATGCTAGTGCTTATCCCAATTCTTCTGAGAAAGTGCTCAGAACCACTTATGTCTGGTTTCCCTCTGTATTTTCATTAAATCTTACTTAAATCTTTGTTTAGCCAGAGTTTTACCAGAGCTTCTATGTGGAATCCTGTTTATACTTAAAAGATTCCATGGGAAAAGAAAAAAAAAAACTTAAAAAAGGATAGCTTGAAAAAAAAGTCTTTCAATTAAACTAACAGAAAAACAAAAACAAAAAATCTTGATAAAACTCAATAAAGAAATGACCACAGAGATGGCAGAGAAAAAGCCTATGAGATGGTACCACGATTCACAATAAACCATGTAGAGATAATGGCTAGGGAAGCAGGTGAGCCAACGATTGGGCCAGCAAACAAGAATATTTTTATTATTCAAATGCTTGGGCTTCCCATTTTTGCATGATGAAGTTGAAAGAATATGAGCTCCAGAGTTATATAAGGCTAGACAGCTTTGATCCCAGTATAGTCACAATTTCTACACAATCTTAGACCAGCTACATAATTTCAGACATACTTTCCCTATTCAGTAAAGGGGGAAAAAACAGTTATTTTCCCTTACCCAGATAGGGGGAATAAACAGCTACCTCATAGGATTGTGATATTAAAGGGAATAAGGTGAGTAGAGCATCTAACATAATACTTAAACAATAATACCTTTTCAAAAAAAATTCTCTCTTAGCTCTTTGTCTTTAACTCTTCTCTTTTCTATTCCCTCAACCAAATTTCGGTAACACATGTGCAAATGTTTTTGTTCCCAAGTTGGGAATCTCCTGTAGGGTAATAAAAAAAACATACTGAAATCTAACACACAAAGACATATTTTATGCTTTAAAGCTAAGAGGTTTTTTTAAAATATGCACAGATTTATATGTAGTTTTAATATATTTACAGCTTTAATTGGTCATAAAATACACATACACACACATCTGAAATACATAGAAATAAAATGATACCTTTTCCAAATAAAGTTGCATCATCAGTTCTGTATTTCTCTGCCTTCCAACTTTGAAACCCCTAGGAATTACAAAACAGAGAGTGAGACACTCACCCAACAAAAGGTCATATTGAGTGATTCCAAGGAACATTAGAAAACCTGTACTGAATTCAAGTTTTTAACTGCCAGATTTTTAACTCTTGGCTACAGTTCCCATGTATGATATAATTTAGAAATTTAGTTTCAGCACAGGAGAATCACTGGACTTAAAACACTGTGTACCTCAACATGCAAAATGTTAATGGAAAATCCAGATAAGTCACAAATTGTTATAAAGAAATTAAAAAACAAAAAGAAATTTGCAAAAAGGCAGGGAGACCTTCATAAACTGCGCAAGGAAAAGAAGGAAGGATGGCTCTTTTATTAATGCATAATTGAATGGAACCTCCGAAGTTCTTCACACCTTCCCCTTCTTGGAGGGTCATCTACACCAAGGATTCTGTAGGTCCATTATGAAACTTACTAGAAGAATATAGCAGACAAGTACAGTGCTATTTTCTAGTCAGAGATGAATCACAGAAGTTCAGAAACATACATTTTTCACCCCAATCTAGCAGTACCAGCATCACTGCCCACAACACATACATACAGATTTGTTCATATGCATCCTGATAAAAAAGTTCTGAAGCCTTCCCATTGCATTTCTTTAATTCATTTGGTTTGAGATTTGACTAAAAATCCTAAATAAAAATAGTTTTTACCTATAAAATCTTTACCTCTAAAGTCCCATAATCAATCTGTTATCCATATTATAGAAAAAGAGGAGTAATACAACACAGGAAAAATTATCAAATCATACAGGGGCACCTGGGTGGCTCAGTGGTTGAGCAACTGCCTTTGGCTCAGGTCATGATCCCGGGGTTCTGGGATTGAGTCCCACATCAGGCTCCCCGCAGGGAGCCGGCTTCTCCCTCACCCTATGTTTCTGCCTCTCTCACAGTGTTTCTCATGAATAAATAAATAAAATCTTTAAAAAAAAATAAAACAAACCAATTTTCTTATACCCCTACTAACATTTAACCTTAGACATGTCCTGATACATAAACACCCAACTGGAAATGGTTGTTATCGATTCTTGATTGGGGCCCTCATGCAGGAATTAAATAGTGGAGAGATTAGGTCACAGTCATATTTCTTTTTTTTTTTTTTAATTTATTTATGATAGTCACACACACACAGAGAGAGAGAGAGGCAGAGACATAGGCAGAGGGAGAAGCAGGCTCCATGCACCGGGAGCCCGACGTGGGATTCGATCCTGGGTCTCCAGGATCGCGCCCTGGGCCAAAGGCAGGCGCTAAACAGCTGCGCCACCCAGGGATCCCCTAACAGTCATATTTCAATACACTTCATTCATATCTTCATTTACTCACTCAACATTTATTTATTAAACACCTACTATATTCCAAATAATGTTTTAGTTGCTGAGGTCCTATCAGTGAACTAATAGATAAAAAACTCCTACTATCATGGAATCTATACTGTAAAAGGCAAATAAAAGAAATAAGTAAATTAAATTATTTAGAAAATTATCATTGCTGTGATGAAAAATAATACATGAATGAAAGGTAGAACCTGCAAAATGAGAGACAGACAGCGAGAGAGAGAAATCAAAAATGACTTAACGTTTGGGCTGCACAACTAGGAGGAAGTTATCATAAACTGATACGGGGAAGGCCTTGGCATGGTCTGTTTGGGGCAGGTCAAGATCAAGAGTTTGGTTTTGCCTGTGTTAAGTCTGAGATGCCTATGAGATACAAATATGTAAAAGGAAATGCTTGTGGGGATGCCTAAAAAACAACAAATTCAATGGACTCCTCCTCTACAATTATTTGGCTTTATCTACCTCCAAGGTGTCCTTTGATGGTCTCCTTTGCCCTTCAGCCCATCCTAAATATTTCTCCTTTTCCTCATTTTTAGGAGATTGAGATAGCACAGATACTTCCATTGCTGATTCTGTCTATGATTCAAGATCTCTTTCATGCTTTGCTTGGGGAACTATTTAGCAACACTGTGAAAGCTAAAACATGGTAAGGGCAAGCAGAAAAAAAATCTTAGAGACTGAGTTATCCTGGAAATAACTTGGAATTTTAAAATCACATGCAAAAACTCTCTTGAAGTACATTGGAAAATCAGCTGTGGCTGAAACACTGCCACTATTAAGACAGTATTCAGTGTAAGATATTTGCATAATGCATACTCTATAAGATCAAACCATTTCCTGTATTTATTATTAAATGAATGCATTTCAGCTGCTGTATCTTGTGGTTTAAAAATCATTGGGAGCTTGGGACATTCATGATCATGTGAAGAGCCAAAAAAAGATACTATTCCCCAAATTAAAAACTGATCTTAATTCGGAATAAACAAATAAGATGAGCAAAAAAGCAGACCACTAAACTGGCCTTGCCTCTAGGTCTATAAAGTTTCCACCCGGGTGATGCTTCAACAAGGAGCAACAGAACACTCTGTTTCAAATTAGATGACAATTCTAGCATTTTTTGGGTAAAGATTTGTTCTAATATTCAGTACTTAAAGACACATAGTGTAGATCCTGCCTGCAATAGCATACATTTTAAATATGAAGAGTAAAAGTATGTGTAAGTTGATGGAATTCCCAAGGGCTGTCATTACATCTCAAAATAAGCAAAAGGCTAACTCCTCGAACCTTTTCCACTCCTTGATAAATAATACAGAGCAACTTCCTCTCGGATTTTAAGTAGATTCCTGACTCCTTTGTTCCTCTATTTGAGGAAACTCCCATCTGAGCAAGACTACCTACTCTTCCCACTGTGCAGTTGTACTACTTAAGGCAGAAATAATTAAAAGGTAATGCAAACAGTTTTTATAATTAGTCTCATGTCTGAAATGGCAAATATTGGGGCCTGAACAATTTGTAGCATTTCTCAGGCAACTTATATCCAGCCAACCTCACTATTTGTAATTAATGAGTCTATACTTTATTCCCTTCAAAATGAATGAGCATCCTAATTGCTATTCTAACAGCCCTATAATAAGGTACAGTGGCTAAAGGTTCAGCCTCTCAGGCCAGAGCTCCATTCCAGGCCCAGTTCTGCCATTTCTGAGCTGGGGGACATTTGACAAAGCTACCTAACCTCCCTATGCCTCAGTTTCATTGTCTGTAAACTAAGGTCAGTAATAGGACCTACCAATTGACTATTGTTTGGATCAAAAAATAAATGACACTTGACATTGTGACTGGCAAATAATAAATGCTCAATACAAAGGCCCAACCTTAGTATTTGTGGAGACTAGAGAGGAATACAAATGAAGCGTCTTGTAGTATATGATGAAAAAATAGCAATTTTGAATTGCTGCCTAGGCATTTTACAGTATGACAACCCTGCTCACACCTGGAGCTTAAATTTCCCAACCCAGGTGCCCACTTTGCTTTCCCCAGGGCACCTTTTAGAAGACATATCTAGAAAAAATGTTTGCACAGCTAATGTCAGAGCAATTATTGCCAGTGTGCTATTTCTAGGATTTTTATGATTTCAGGTCTCACATGTAGGTCTTTAATCCATCTTATTTTTGTGTATGGTGTGTGAAGTAGCCCAGTTTCATTCTTTTAAATGTAGCTCCAGTTTTCCCAGCACTTTTTATTGAAAAGACTGTATTTTCCCCATTGGATATTCTTGCCTCCTTTGTCACTGATTAATTCGCCATATAATCATAGGTTTATTTCTGGGCTTTCTATACTGTTCTATTGATCTATGTGTCTATTTTCGTGTCAGTACCATACTGTCTTGATCACTACAGCTTTGTAGTATATCTTGAAATCTGGAATCGTGATACCTCCAGCTTTGTTTTGCTTTCTCAAGATTGCTTTGGCTATTTGAGGTTTTTGTGGTTCCACACAAATTTTAGTATTCTTTGTTCTAGTTTTGAGAAAAATGCTCTTGGTATTTTAGTAGGGATTGCACTGAATCTGTAGCTTGATTTGGGTAATAAGGACATTTTAACAATATTAATTCTTCCAATCCATGAGCACAGAATATCTCTTCATTTGTTTGTGTCATCTTCAATTTCTTTCATCAGAATTTTACAATTTTCAGAGATCAGGTCTTTTACCTCCTTGGTTAAATTTATTCCTCGGTATTTTATTCTCTTTGATGCAATAAATGGAGTTCTTTTCTCAATTTCTCTTTCTGCTACTTTGTTATTAGAGTATAGAAATGCAGGGCACCTAGGTGGCTGAGCGGTTGAGCATCTGCCTTCAGCTCAGGATGTGATCCTTGGGTTCTGGGACTGAGTCCCTCATCAGGCTCCCTGTGAGGAGCCTGCTTCTCCCTCTGCCTGTGTCTCTGCTTCTCTCTGTGTGTCTCTCGTGAATAAATAATAAAATCTTTTTAAAAATGTGCAGTTATAAAATCTTTTTTTTTAATATTTTATTTATTTATTCATGAGAGACACACAGAGAGAGGCAGAGACACAGGCAGAGGGAGAAGCAGGCTCCATGCAGGGAGACTGATGTGGGACTCGATCCCAGATCCTGGGATCAAGACTTGAGCTGAAGGCAGATGCTCAACCGCTGAGCCACCCAGGCGTCCCTCCTTTAAAAAATTTTTTTAAAAATAAACACTACCAATTTCTGGGTGAATTTTGTATCCTATAACTTTACCTGAATTCATTTATTATTTTTGGTAATTTTTTAGTGGCATCTTTCTATGTATAGTAGCATGTCTTCTGCAAATACTAATAGGTTAATTTCTTCTTTACCAATATGGATGCCTCTTATTTTTTTTAAGGTTTTATTTATTTATTCATGAGACACACACATACAGAGAGAGAGAGAGAGCAAGAGCGAGAGAAAGAGGCAGAGACACAGGCAGAGGGAGAAGCAGGCTCCATGCAGGGAGCCCGATGCAGGACTCGATACCGGGTCTCCAGGATCACACCCTGGGCTGAAGGCAGCGCTAAACCGCTGAGCCACCCGGGCTGCCCTTATTTCTTTTTCTTGTCTGAGTGCTATCAGTAGGACTTCTAGTATTATGTTGAATAA